AAATGAAAAAAAAAAAAGAGTTATAAAGAAAAAATTATCCAATAAAATTATAAGGTATTTGTAAGAGAGTAAGTGAGATGTTTTTTTCTATTATAGAAAGATTATTAATTGTTATTTTCTTATTTAAATAGTTGTTTTTTTATTACTTTAGAGAGGTTGTAATTACCATGTTACTTAGTAAAATCCTTCTTTATTTATCTGTGGACATAAAAAAAAAAAAAGAAAGAGGAGAGGAGAGAAAAAAAAGAGTGGCGAAGAGAGGGCAGAAAAATAAGAGAAAACCGGAGAGTAAGAGGCAAAACAAATTAAACACAGCAAAGAGGGACCAAAAAAACAGTAAATAGAGGGATTCTCTTTGTTTCATTCGGGGGGTTTATTGTGAGCAAAGAGGAGAGCAAAAAGACAAGATGGAGAGGGAGATTTGCTCCTAAATCTTGACAACAACGTGAGCTTGGCTTTCCATTTCATCTTCTGCAGAAAAAAAAAACGTTGAGACCTGCAGCACATAGCTGAATTATTTCGTCCACTTCAGTATCTCTATTTTCGTCCGTCAGTTACCAATATACAAGGAGCTGCAGGTCCAACTGCCTTCACACACGCAAAATAGGAATTGCCAGGTCTCTCCTCCATTTGGCCCCCAGCGGCAGAATATGACGGTATCAATCTGTCCTAGGTTGTTTTCACGAAGTTGAGGCTTGACAAGGATAGGAAGTCTCAATTGGATCGCAAGGCAGAGAGATGTGCTGTTGGAGACAAAGAGAAGGGCACTATGTTCACTGTCTCTTTTGGATTGCAAGGCAGAGGGACATGCTGTTGGAGACAAAGAGAAGGGCACTACGTTCACTGCCGAGGACATCATGCAGAGTGTGGACTGATTGGTTTGTTTGAAATGAAATATTTTGTCAGTAAGGTCTTGAATTATTTATCTATTTCCTTATGCTATTTTGGAATATGTTTGGAGGCTTCAAGGTTATTTAATGTGACCTGTTTTTTTTTTTATATAAAAAATATAAATGTTTTTTTTTGTGTGTTGCATACGGCCAATACCCTAACATGTTTTTTTTGAATTACACCTTCCCTTTACGCAACCAGTCCCTTGCCTTAGAATCTCTGAAAGACCAGTTAGGTTTCCTAGTGACCATAATACTAGGTGGCGACTCCCTTTTACACAAAAATAAAACTAACAGACCCCGAAATCAATCAATTGGTCGCCGCGACGCCGCGCTCCGCTCGCGAGGGTGCGACACTATTACTTGAGAGAGGTTGTAATTACTACATTACTTAGTAAAATCCTTCTTTATTTATCCGTGGACGTAGTCTAATTAGATGAACCCCGTAAATTTTTATATCTTATTTTTCATTTTATCCTATTTTTTTATTTTTTATCTTATAAGGTTTACATGCCAGTATCCTAACATAATAAATAAGTTCTAGAAAAACAAAAAAAACTGCCAAAATTTGTCATGTTTTACTTGCCAAGCAAAATTATTATTTCTATTATTATTGGCATGTATTGTAGTGGCATGGTAATTCTTTTTTGTGCGGTTTGAAAATTTCAGATTTCAATAAAAATAAAATTATTTCAATATTATTTACTCGATTTTAGTGTTCGAGAAGTTTAAAGAAATATAAACAAGTTCTATAATCCATTAAAATTACAGATTTTTATACATTTATAAAGTACTCAAAAAATGGTGTGATTGGCTTCAAAACTGCCTGATTAAAAATTAATATCATCAACACATTTCTCTTTCGCATATACTTTGAATAGGTTTTTTAAAATCGAGAATAAATTTGGTAAATGATGATGCTTAAATCAAAAGAATTCCATAATATATATATATATATTCCAAACAAAAACACTCAATTATCAAATCAAATCTATTAGATCTACTTAGAAATTAAAATCAATTATAAGATAGAATTAATACTGAACAACTAATAACTGAAAATCATAAAAAATAGGTGGCTAAAAGTGAAAGAGATCGTGGATATAAAAGGTGAAGTTGTATTTTAAGTGTGTGTTCAGTTGTATTTTAAGTGTGTGATGTATGATATTTTTTTAAAGTATTTTTCAATTAAAATATATTAAAGGTGTGCTAGAGAGTGCTTTTATTTTTGTTTTTTCTATATATAATTTTTAAAAGTATTTTTGGCTTAAAAATATATTAAATTGATATTTTTCTAGTAGTTTTTAATAATTTTGATGCACTGATATCAAATATAAATATAAATATAATAAAATATTATTTTGATGTATTTTCAAACAAAAAACTATTTTAAAAAGCATTTTGCATCACAATTCCAAACATAAGTTTTTTCATATTTTTTTAATATTTGATATAAACATATCAAAAAACATTTTAAAACATTTATTTTATTTCATTTTTAAGATAAATAATAATTTAGAAGAAGAAAAAATCTCAATACCGAACACTCTATTAATCTTAACTAACATATTTATTTGCGTCTCGCAACTGATCAATAATAATTTTTTTAAAATATAAAAAAATCTTAAAAATCTTAAAAATATTTGAAGTGTTTTAAGTGCTAATAGTCTTTGACCTAAGATTTATATCTAACAGCAATTTCAAACCCAAGACTTTATATTTGACACCAAATCAAATTCAATAGCCTTCTGTGAATGATAAAAACATCATCCATGATAACATGACAAATTGCATTAACAAATTAAATGAATTGATTGTCCAATCCTTTTTTATTCTTCATAATTTGTTTCCAAAGACAAATCAAATGAACTTTGTTGAGACTTCTAATATGGCTTGAAAATAAATTTTACTTTTATTTTTCTTGTGGGACAAGGTATTTACTATTTAAATTATGAATTTGATTAAAAAGAATGCAAAAAGGATGGAGGAGAAAATTCTTGAACTACCACTGTTCATTTAATTCACAAATTTAACCAGTATAATAATAATAATAATAATAATAATAATAGGATCAATGAATTGTTTTATATTAAATAAAAAGTTTGGGTC